TGCAGATGTGGATGGACTTGGAGACTGTCTAACAGAGCGAAGGAAGTTAGAAAGAGAAAAATAAATATATATTAACACATACATGTGGAATCTAGAAAAATGGTATAGATGAACTTTTTTGCAAATTAGAAATAGAGACACAGATGTAGAGGACAAACGTATGGACCCCAAGAGGGAAAGGGCGTGTGGGATGAATTGCGAGATGGGGATTGGCACGTATACAGTACTGCATATAAAATAGACAACTAATGAAAACCTACTCCACAGCACAGGGAACTCTACTCAGAGCTCTGTAATGACCTAAATGGGAAGGAAATCCAAGGAAGACAGGGTATGCATATATACATACACATGTGGCTGATTCACTTTGCTGTATGGTAGAGACTAACACACTACTGTACAGCAAATATACTCCATTAAAAAAAACTCAATTTTTTTTCTTATCAAACTATGGGAACTGTATTTGTTATGGAACTTAGTTCTTCTTCCATTATATAAGCTGCAAATATTTTTCCAAGTTTCTCCTTTGTCTTTTGATTTTGTTTATGGTGTTTTATTCATATAGACATTTTTTTATTTTGACAGTGTTAACTTGTCATTTGCTTTTACACCTTCTGGACTTTAAGCTGCGTTGTACAGACCTCTCCTATGTTGTGATGTGGGTTTGCTGTGAGGTGCATTCCGAAACTGCTGCAGTGCTCTGACTGTCTTCATTTTACAGGTGGAGAAACTGATGCTCAAATAGTTTGGAAACTGACCCATGGTAGCCCATTTGGGCTGTGGACTCAGGCCCTGTGAATCTGGCTCACATATTCTTGTGCCAACACAATTGTCTTTCTTTTCCTAGTGATACGATCATTCTGTGTTTCCTTTTTCTGGCAAGCTGTTGCATTCCGCAGGTTTGTTAGTCTCACCTGGTCTCTTTGAAGCGTGTAACAGGAAGAGGGTAGCTCTTCATCCCATTGGTGGTTCCTCATTCACATCTCGGTTGTCCAGAGGGCATAATGCGGACATTTACAATACCATGCCAAAAAGTGATTTACTTTTGTCTCTAGCGAAATGATCATACTCTGATTCCTCAGTAATTCTCCCTTTGTAAATAAAGCGTTATCATCTTACATAAGTCAATTAAAAAAGAAACTCAAAATATGTGAGATCTCATCTGATATGGGTTTCCATCACTTCCAGCACTTGACCCTCCAGGAGGAAAGCGTGTACTGGCGGTCCCCTGTGAGATCACGATCAGGAAACTTCAGCTAGAATGTATTCTTTTAATAGTGCATTAGGATAAACAGTGCTGACCGCCCTTTCGCTGTTTTCGTGCTCAGCCATGGGAAGCACTGTGGTCAATAACTATTATCTGCTTTATTAGCATACAAGCCATGGCTGCCACTTCAATGCTTTAAGACCCCGGGTGACATAGGTTATGTTTGCTGGGTTTGAGCTCACAGGCGATTGTGCGTTCGCTCAGTTCCAGGGCCAGCCCCCAGCTTGGTTAACAACCACAGGCTCTGGACCAAGTCCTGGGTGGTGCTGGGCACAGGGCTTAATGGCAGGAAGTGCATTCAGAATGCCTTCGGAAACCCACCCGTCCCCCTCTTTGTAGGAGGGGAGAAAACCTCCTACCTTCCCCAAGAGGAAGAAATTCTCCTGTCTGTTCAGCCAGATTCCAAGGCATGAATGCCAGTGTCTACCAACAGGCACGTGAAATGTACGTGCTTCCCCACCTCTTCCCTTGCTAAGAGGGTCAGGATCCCTCCCAAGCTGATCCACACAGGGTTACCCTGGGTGATGGAGAGGTCCAGTGGCTCGGAAGTGGGGATCAGACCTGGCTTTAGGTTGAAATCCCCTACGTAGGCCATGGCTTCCAACCTGGTTTTAAACATTCACCTTGCATTAGCGTGTCATATCCATGTGTGACTGTATGGCCCTTACAGGGTCCATGGAGGGCAGCACTGTGCTGTTCCGGGGTCCTTGTCTGTCGTATCATTTTTTAATAGCATCCAAATCTCAATGTAAGCACAGGCCCTCTGTTAACACCTTGATTTCAGGTCTGGGCTCTAGAACTGTGAGACTGTGCACTTCTGTTGTGTCAGCTACTCATTTGTGATACTTGGTTATGGCAGCCCTAACCTATGACCATGCTTGGAGACCAGGTTGGGCTCTCCTATTTTAAAAAGTGAGTGGACTTCATGGTTAGAAGTGGGAATACCATACCGTGCATTGGGTGGCTCAGTAAAGAATCTGCTTGCAATGTGGGAGACCCAGGTTCGATCCCTGGGTTGGGAAGATGATCTGGAGGAGGAGATGACAACCCACTCCAGTATCCTTGCCTGGAGAATTCCATGGACAGAGGAGCCTGGTGGGCTACAGTCCATGGGGTCGCAAAGAGTCAGACACGACTGAGTGACTAACACACGCATCATTCCTTCTCCTCCACTATGCAAATACAGTAGCTTTTTGACTACAAGAAGCTCATCAATGGTTGTCAATAAACTAGACTGATTTCATGCAATAGAAGACGTTCAGTCTTACTTCTGCTTTGGTAAAATAAGGAAACTGGGGTAGAGTTTCCGTGATCCGAGTTGGGTCACGTGGAGGTCAGGTCAGCGGTGACACGGAATAGACAGGAGCTCACCTAGCTTATTGTGTTAGTCATCTGTTGATGAAAACGCTGATTCTCAATGAGAAGTTGCTAAAGACACGATGGAGGATTTTCCTTTCAATCCTGGAATATTTAGCACAGTGCTCAGAACTGAAAGGTGCTGAAAACTGCCTTTACTGTCTGAGCCACCAGGCAAGTCCCAACTATCACTGTTAAGTGTCCAATTATGGGACAAGGATTGCTTTTCTTTTTAGCAGTCAGAAGGGGAATGTCTACCAGTTGAAATTTAGGCATGATTGGTGGTGCTTAATAAGGTATTTAAATGACATTAATAAATCTGAACATGATTAGCAGATCTGAGCAGTCTGGATGAGAACATTGTAAACTGTATATCATGTTACTAATAAATCGCTTCTCAAAAGACTAGGTCTTCACCACCTGGTAGCTAGCCAACACAAAAATCCTTCTTTAACATATCAAAAACATGCAGTGTTTTATGAAGGAAATTGATGAAGTAAGGAAAATCAAAGTCCAGTATCCAAGATACTGGATAAATATCTTAATCATTGAGCATGAATGTTTTAATGTATGATGTTTTACCACTGTGTTTGCTAATAATCAAGCAAACTGAGCATCGTAAAAATAAGATTTTTGAAAGTGCTGAAAACGTAAAGTCACTAAAACCAGGAAATACTGATATTATATTTGTACACTAAATTTTCTAGCCTCTGAGTGACCACTTGCCCAAAAATAGCTTAAAAAAGGTACATCTTTATGGTTTTGCAAATTTGTGGAGAGGACAGGGCTTGTCCCTTTTTCTCATGCACGAGGTCCACATCGTGCCCTGCCTATCAGTCTAGAATAATGGAGTGGTCGTTCAGTCGCCCAGTCGTGTCCGACCCTGCAACCCCAGGGACTGCAGCACGCCAGGTCTCTCTGCCCCTCACCATCTCCCAAAGTTTGCCCAATTTCATGTCCATTGCATCGGTGATGCCATCCAACCATCTCATCTTCTGTCTCCCCCTTCTCCTCTTGCCTTCAATCTTTCCCAGCATGAGGGTCTTTTCCAATGAGTCAGCTCTTCACATCAGGTGACCAAAGTATTGGAGCTTCAGCTTCAGCATCAGTCCTTCCAATGGGTTCCAATCAGGGTTGATTTCCTTTAGCATTGACTGGTTTGATCTTGTTTCATTTTTCAAGGAGAAATAATGGATATGTAGTCAATAAATGCTTGTTTCTTTAAAATTTATTTATATTTATGGTTATGCACGCAGGCTTTCTCTGGTTGTGGAGAGCGGGGGCTACCTCCAGTTGCCGTGTGTGGACTTCTCACTGTGCTGGCTTCTCTTGCAGAGCATGGGCTCCAGAGTGCAGGCTCAGTAGTTGGGGTGCTTGGGCTTAGTTGCTTTGAAACATGTGGGATCTTCCCAGACCAGGGATAGAACCTGCGTCCCCTGCATTGGCAGGTGGACTCTTATCCACTGTACCACCCAGGACATCCCAATAAACGCTGGTTGAATGAACCAACATGTAAAGGATTTTTCTGGTGGGTTTCTACGAACTAAGGGAGCGGAGGCAACATATCAGTAAACATATCAGTTTACTTGGAAATAAGGAAGGCAATTTATTGTAGTGAGATAATATTGAAGTTTTACATACGACCGCCCCGATGCGTATGAAGTAATTTCCTCCACACTATCGGAGAAGACACCATTGAACTACAAAGAAACTCAAAGTGCTTGACATCAGTTAATGATGCATAATATAATGCATTTTCACTAACTTACCCAAATTTCAAATTAGACAGTTAAAGGACACATTGAAGTATTTTTCATGCATTGTTAACAACCTTTTTTTTTTTTTTTTTTTTTTGCTGGAGTTTATAATGCCCTTTGATAACTCCAAACACTGAATTCTATTCCTTATAGTCTGTTCCTTTCATCCTACTGAGGTGATTAGTTATCACAAAGCGGCTTATTAGAGGAAACTCCTAACAGAGACTTAGACATTTTCTCCTAAATGGAGTTTGTGGAAAATTTGAAACTTGGCACGCCCTTTGAAGCAACGCCAGAAAAAGAAAACATTATGTTTAGACACTAACCACTAAAAAAAAAAAACTTCAGGAGGCAAAGAGCAGCAATGCAGTTTGGCACAAGTTCAGAAACAAATAATACACACATATCTGCGTACATGTACCCAATGCCTTGTCTAGGATGTGTTTTATACATGTGCTACATGTTGTACAAATCAGGAGCACGGCGTGCCGGTGTGAAGTTGTGTGGCTGTCCTCTCGGAGGAGGTCTCAAGCACAACTTGCCAGAGGAGCTTATTCACGACTTTTTGGAAAACAAGAGTCTAAAGGCAGTTCTCATTGTGTACAGAGGGGCCCGGAGCGCTAGATGTAGGATTCCTTGGCAAATCGGAGCTGCTCAGCGTCAAACACGGGCTGGCTACACCGCCGGGCCAGCAGGGCCTGCCTGCCCTTCTGCTGCGACTCGGAGGCGCTTCTCAGCCGCTGCAGCTCTGGTGTCCCGGGGACCGTCACCTGTCCTGCCGCGGCCCCAGGGGCGCAGTCAGTCCAGCTCTGCCTCCAGGGCTCGGTCTCTGGCCCCCATCGGAGCCTGTCCAGGGGCTCCGGCCCGCGGCTGTTTCTCGAGTCCCCGTGGGTGCGGGCGGGGAGCGGAGGCAGCAGCCCCGCGTCCAGGCTCAGCACGCGGGCCCGCAGGCTGCCCACCGTCTGGCCCCCACGCGGGGCGAGCTCCAGCGCCTGGAGCCGCACGGCCTCCTCGTAAGACGGGGGGCGGCCAGGGTGCCTCTGATCCACCAGCTGGAACACATCCTCCACCGAGAGGGTGTAGGCCCCCGAGTTAAAGCCCAGCGCGGCTCGGCCGGGGGCATCCGACGAGCTTTCCTGGACGATCCGGCCGGCGAGCTGGCTTTCTTTCTTGGAACCTCTCTTCTCTGGGTCTCGGGGGCAGCCCTTGGGCTTCGCGGCTCCAAAGCTGCGCGTCTTGGTCAGCACTCTTTGGTGGGAGGCGAAGGAGAATGACATGGAGTGCTTTTTAATTTCTCGGTTGGGCTTGCTTTTCTCAGCCTTGGTGAAAGACTGGTGTCGGGTGAAGAAGTTTCTTTTGGGGCTGGAAGGAGAGGCCAGGGGCGAGCTGTCGGAGAAAGTGTCCAGGGAGCCACTGGAGGCGGCTTTGGGGACCCGTGCGCACGGTGACCCCGAGTCCTGAGTTGGGCTCCGCTCCCCCAGGTCCCGGGGCCTCTGCTCCCGGCCTTCGGCTGCAGGAAACACCTCCTCGGGAAATGGGTCCTCGGCTTCCTCGCCGGCAAAGCGGGAGGTTGTGCGGGCCACCGAGGTGAAGTCGTCCTCGCTTCGCGTGAGTTTCGGGTTTGCTCTTCTGACATCGAGGCACTCCGGGGAGGATGCGGCGCTGGGGTCCGAGTACCTCCTGTCTGCTTGCCCGAGGAAGCCCTTCAGTCTGGCCGTGGTGCTGACCACGGGCTCCCAAGGGCGCAGCGGGGCTCTGGGCTCCGAGCAGCCAGCAGCCAGCTCCGGGGGCCCTGGGGGCTGCGAGCTTGGGGAGCCCGCAGGCTCCACGTCATGGTCAGGGTCGTTGCTGTCGTAGGCCGAGTCGTTCTGCAGGGTCGACATGTCTGGGGGAAGGTAAGGACAGCTGAGTGTTTGTTCAGGTCCTTTTAGAAATTCATTTTAGCACCGTTCACCCTACTAACATCAAGTATGGCCCTAGGGAATTTGGTGAAGCTAATTTGGGGCTTGTTATGAAAGAAACTGGCCATGTTCAAGTTTCCTTTCTTGCCTTGCCTACTATTTTGAGGTGGAGAAGATAAGTAGGAAAATGAAGAGAGAAAAGTTGAGAGAGAGAGAGAGAGGGAGGGAAGAAATGAGAAGAGAGAAAACAGCTCTCCACTGAAAATTTATTGATCTTAGATTTAAAAGCTGATCCTTTGGACAGCTCTTTTCATTGGATCCATCCCCATTTTGGTGGTTCAGACAGTAAAGAACCTGTCTGCAAGGCAGGAGACCCGGGTTCGATTCCTGAGTGGGGAAGATCCCCTGGAGAAGGGAATGGCAACCCACTCCAGTATTCTTGCCTGGAGAATTCTATGAACAGAGGAGCCTGATGGGCTAAGTCCATGGGGTCAAAGAATTGGACAGGACTGAGCAACTAACACTTTCACTTTCATCCCTATTTTAACAGACCCCCATTAGACCCATATTCCATTGTGTGGAAACAAAAGTTTCTTACCCCAACCCTCTAGCCAAAGGTTACTTAGTAAAAGGAGCAGTTCTTCATGATTTAGAATGGGAAGGGGAAGGTGCCAGGCTGTAGCCTGAGGAAATAGTGCAGGAAAATTCAAAAGAAAAGTTTCCCTGCTTGCTGACTTCTCAACAGACCTGCATCTACTCTGATTCGGTGATGTGTGTTGGTAACTTCTTCAGATCCCAGGGGTGTTTCACGTTACTGGGCTGGATTGGTAGCCAGGCATGAACTTGACCCCACAGTCAGAGTCAGCTGAGAACATGTTCCATACCTGAACTGTCCGTGTGTTCCAGGGAGTCATCAGAAGCAATTCTGGAATGTGCTGGAAAGTCTTCCCCAAATATTTCAAAGCAGTTATCGATGAGGAATTCCACCAGTGTCTTAACCTGTGAGGAGAAGTTAACAGCTTGTCAGCTTAATGAGATCTTTATTTATTTTTAAAGGAAGGTTACCAAGGGAGACATAGGGAGGGTCAGCAGTTAGGGAGGTGCCAAAATGGGCTTCCCTGGTGGCTCAGATGGTAAAGAATCTGCCTGTAATGCAGGAGACCTGGGTTCAATCCCTGGGTTGGGAACATCCCTTGGAGAAAGGAATGGCTACCCACTCCAGTGTTCTTGCCTGGAGAATTCCAGGGACAGAGGAGCCTGGTGGGCTATAGTCCATGGGGTTGCAAAGAATCAGACACGACTGAGCAACCAACATTTTTACTTTCAAAATCGACATAAGAGATGTTTAACCGTGTCTGAAAGGAGCATTCAGAAAATTGGTAACAATCACCTATATGAAAATTATTTTTGAGATATGCCTTTTAACTTTGTGAATTTAAAAAAACCTATTACTTTAAAGTGACCAAAATGTTCATTAAAGGAGTTGCCCGGATTGGTAGCTGAACTGACAGAGTGTGGTGCACAAAAAAGAGCAAAGTGAAAGGGCCTCTCCATTCTGGAAACAGCGGTGGAGAGACGGGCATCCCTTGCCCTCTGTCTCGGAGGATGACCTGGCTTTACTGGGTCTCATCCAGTGGATGCACCCCAGGGAGTAGACCTGGGGCCACAGCAGACCTCACTGCTTGGCTCTGACAGGCAGATGTTGAGTTTCGCAGAAATAGCCGGGCACAAACCTTATCGTTCAGGTCTCTCCGGGCTTCCAGCGATAGGCTGTGCTCGTGTTCTGGGCTCAGCACGTTGGGCCCGATGCAGATGGCGAGATTGCTGGCGTCCATCCGGTTGACCTCAGAGTTCTTGCTGATCACGTGGAGCACGGATACCAGGTGCTTGAGCAGCAGGTGGTTGGGCCGCGGGAGCTTGTCTGCAACCCTGGAACCGAGGTGGGGAAAGCTGGTTTTAGGGGAGGTTCATGGCCTATCTAGCTTGAGGGGAGCAAGTCGAAAGTGTCTGCCTGACCCAGACCTCCTTTAAAATGAGGAAGGTTTGTTTTCACAAGAAACACTGTGAAACGTTCATTCAGATACTTGCAGTGGCAACTGACATGGAATGAATCACTGAACCACAAGAGCTTGAAGTCCTAGAAAACTGGCCTCTATGATCCTGACACCAGTAACATGGCCATTTACTCTTTACACAGATCTTAGATTACGAATCATTAACTCCTGCAATAAACTTTAACACATTTTGAAAATCATTTTGTTGAGAAACCATTTAGCCATATGGAATGTCTTCCTGCTTCTAACACTGCAAGACTGGTTTTTCTAAAGAATACAATCATTTGCCTTTTTTTGAACTGTGCTCATCAAACAAAGAAGACACATTTTTATACCATTCAGAGAAAGCTTTATGAAGAATAAATCAGTTTAGAAGAGCATGTTCATAAAAATAATGAGGTCAGCACTAAAAGGGCAACATTGGTACAATGACTAATAAACTAGAATTGTAAAGCCTCATATTTTCAAAAAAAGAGATGGTGGTTCTAACATAAGGATCATTCATTTCTCATAAGATACTGTTAAGAAAGACCTTTGTGTCTGTAAACAGAAGTTTATTGTGGTAATCTCAGGATTCTTATTTTGGGACAGACACACTAATGCCTTCAGTTCAATAAATATGCTATTGATAATACTTAGCCATGTGAGACAATTATCATATATAGACACACTTTTATAGGATTTGGCAAAAGTGCTGATATTGTGAAGTTAGGTGTGTAAGATTTTCTAGGCATTAACAGGTCACACTTTGATTTATATATGGTATTCTTTCTGTTGCTGTTGGAATTTATTTTTATAGAGTTTTCATTTTGGTTGATTATAAGAATGTGGAATAAATACACTATGGAATTTTGTCAACAAACAAGCCCTTGCAGACTGTTTACTAAGGGACATTTTGTGGGAGAATTGTTGCTTTGCACCACATCAGTGTGGACAGGTGAAGACCCCAGATTCCTACATGTGGCTGGTTAGCCTGCTCCGAGGCTTTCATCTGTGAGTTCGTTTCATACCTTCTTGAACTACTTATATTTTTAGACTCCCTACCTGTTGGGATTTGTGAGTACTGAAGTTCACTTTCTATCTTTTGACAGAGGTGCCTCCTTTCATTTGGCTAAAAAAACCTACTTTTTAAACATTTCCAGGGTACCTTTAGATTTGTATTCTAGGAGCAGGTGAGCGAGTCCACGTGAATTCCTTCAATGTTGCAAAATGAAATACTCTAACAGTTGGGTGAGGAGCCCCTGGGCGGAGACTGCACGGGTGACTTACTGTTTCAGCGCCTCGATCCGGTCCTCCTCGCTCGGCTTGGCCAGGGCGTCCATCCACTCCTCAAACAGGTCACAGGACAGGAGCTTCAGTGGAATACTTCTGAGGAAGTCCTGGCGGGAGGAAGGGGACCGTTCACGTTACATAACATGCTCCCAACCTAACTTCCATCTCATTCATCCCCTCTCAGGAGTCTCTGCTCATCACCCCTTCCTGCCTGCATCCAATGAGCCTGAAGTCTCCCCCCAACTTGTCTCTCAGCAACTTTCCTAACAACAGGCACGGTTAAGGCCACCATCCAAGGGGCCACCAGACTCAGGGCAAAAGACTGGGCCGTGGGACAGTCCGAGCACCTGTTCTCAGAGACATCTGGGGAGAATTGAATGCAGCACTTTTTGGTTGGAATCTGGGATCACAGAAACGGAGATGCTGATACACATAAATAAAGGCTGAACTAAAACAGTGCGATGCCACGATCAGTTGCCTTTGCCGTGTAGGGTGAAGAGCCCGATTCTCATTCCCTGAGAGACAGTGGGTCAGAGCCCGTCAGCTTGTTGTTTGGCACCGATGCTGGGGACTCACCTTGAGGACCACGGCCAGGAGGTGCACAGGGAGGCTTTTCAGGTCCACCACGCTTCCAGAGTTGAGCTCCTCCTTCAACTCCTTTCGGGCTTTCTCATTGGCTGCTTTCCTGAATATTCCCTCAGTGGAAGGGCCTTTAAGGCATAGAATAGTGAGAATATCCTAAAAGGAAGGGGTATAGAGATAGGAAATGGTTACCCGGGGTTTGAAGTCACACTTTGCTGCTACTGATAGAGGAAAAAATCTGTATTTCAGTAGGAAAAAGAATTTAAATAGTGGACATGAACAGTAGCTAACTTTACCTGCTATACAATATCCTCTCCATAAAAGTTAGTTCTCCAGGATACTAAGATCGTCTTAACAAGAGACTATTAATCCCAGTCCGGTTCCTTTCAGTCTGTTACTTTCAACTGTCTCTCTCAACCCTGCCATTTTTCTAAGAGCAGGTACATTGGGAAAGCTGGAATTTGCACAGCCTAAAATGATTTTGGGCCTCCCTCCTCTCGAATCATTCCGTGTAAACACTGGATATCTGATCACAAACTCCATAAATCTGTTGGTTTTTCAGAAGCTACCCATTTTTAGCCTTCTTCACTCCATTAAGTCAGAAGGATGGAGGGACCATCGACCTGAGCTCATTGGGAAATACAACTAATTTCTAGAATGTAAGCTGCCATGTAAGTTCTCCTGACTGCATTCTTAGGTGGGAACACCATTTCCAAATGTGGGAAAAAAAACGGAAAATCCCACCCCAACAAGTTCAGCATGAGAAAGCCGCTCAGGCTTCCCGAGGACTTTTCACAGAAAACTGAAGGAGGTTCTGGCCGAACGTGTGCCTACCTGAATGGGCCCCGGGAGCGTGTTGTCACTGCAGATGGCTGACAAGGGCTGCTCGAAAAGGGACGTCTTCAACTCTGGCTCCGAAGCTGCAGAAACATCTGATGAAGAAGAAAGCCTCCTCATGAGAAAGAGCCAGTTAGACACCTTCTTTCTCTTCTTGATTTCTATGGCCGAGAAAACAAGGCAAAGAGAAATTAGATTAACATACTGATAAGCAAGGAAGGATCCAGATAAGACAACAGATATTGTCATGTATGGTTTGCCATGTGGGAGAAACAGTTTCGAAAAACTGAGGAAGCAAAGGGTGTGAACCTTAATCTAGTGTGAACCAAAAAACAACCACATGGTTACCAGGGCAACCAGCCCCTCAACAGTAACACCAAGGTTCCTCAAAGTCTCCACCTTTCCTGTTTTTACTCTTTACCAGCTGTTTGCTATAGAAAAGGAGCATAGCTTAACTAGGCAGGTCATAAACAATCATCGTAACATATTGACCTTAATAACCACGGTGGATAGTTGGTGGCTATTTCTGATGTGAAACAGATTATTTTAATTCCTCCTCTGACTAGTGAAGAAAACGAAACTTAACAGGAAGTGACTTGCTCAAAACCATTTTGAAGGCTCTAGGCTGGGCGGGCTGTTAAACCTCAGCGGCCGCGCTAGCACCCACCACTAGAGGGAGCTAGTCTGTCTGCAGTCAGCTGCAGGGTTATCCCAGTGGATGCGTTAGGACGGGGCAGGGAGGTTAGAACCTAGACCTGGCAATTGGAAATGCTCAGGAAGAATTTTCCAGGATAATCAGTCCTTGCAAAATCCTGAAGATGTCTGCACAATGGGTATCACCACTCATGAGTTTACTTCTTTCTGTTTTCCTCTCTCCTTTTTTTTTCTAATTAAAAAAAAAAGCTATACTTTCTAAATGTATTAGCACATGTTTCTATACTTTTTATACCAGCAAGCGGAAGAGGATGGACAGAGAATTGGCTTGTCTTTATAGTTCAAGAGAACTGGGTCAGGGTTACGTTACAACACAATGAATTGTGGAAAAAATTGACTGAACGGTGGGTTCTTTGGGATTTAAGATATCAACAGTTGCTTAATGTATTCTTAGAATCATTTTCCATTAGAGGAGGGAGAGAGTGGAAAAGGCAACTGCATATTTTTCACACGTATGCACACTTCAATTGTCAGAACAGAAGTGGCCAGGAGGTCTGTAACCCCACTAAAATCCCTCTGGAATGGGGGAAAGGTTGACTTGGGAAGGATGTTTTCTCTCAGAACACTTGCTGTCTAGTGAGCTGGAGCCTTCCTGCCAGGCAAGTGTTAATGTTCTGTGGTCTTTAAGAGAACACTTCGGAAAAAAATCCCCAGTAAAGCACTGTGGTTTGGCAAACCAAGGACACTGGTTGTTAGCATTTACATAAAAGATCAGTGTGTTTTCAAAACTCACCAATTAGCTGGCAGATATTATCTTCACTCTCACATGATGCCAATAGAGGATGTTCCTTGATATTACCCTAAAAATATATTTATTTTAATGAAAATTAATGATTGAAGAGATCTGCCCAGTCTTTCCCCACACAATATATTCAACATGTTATTCATGTCAACAGTTAGTAGTCCATTAATTTTTTTTCAGAATCAATATTAATGTCCTGCGTATCATGACATAAGATCTCAATTAACATTAGTGTTTACTACAACTTATGTTGATTTTCTATTCTGATAACTAAACAACATGCATGATATTCAATTAAAACAAAATTTACCATCTCACAGTGCAGATAAAAAGTTTGAAAAACAGCTTTCTTACCTCTGATTGACATTCAATTAATGTCTCCATATCACAGGCATTTAGGGTTTTTGACTACAAGAGAGAAGAAGTCAAGCTAAGTAAACATCTTTGACCCTGCCAATGGGAAAATCTGAGGTAGTAAATGTAAGAAGGGCACATACAGCATGGCAGCTGCCCGTCAGCCTCACTGGAGTTCGGGCTGACGCTTCAGTGGTGAATTTTGTTCCTGTGTGGCCTTGGCTCTGTCTATGAAAAATCATTCGGGAAAGAGTGAGGAGGGATACGCGGAATGCAATGGCCAGTCTCAGCCCCACTCTGACAAAACAGAAAGTCTGAAGCTACTAGTTAGAGAAGTGTTCATTTAAGGTCAGTTATGTGTTACCAGATGTCTCACACTATTAAACACAGCATCTGAACACACTGCTTTCTAAAAGCTTTAAACTTGACATCTTCATAACGCCAAACTTTGCTTTTCGTTTATTAAGCTCCCATCAGGAGATAATCTGAGTAACAGCTACAGTGACAACTAACGTTTTGGGAGGAGAGCTCACGATGTGCCAGGGCACTGTGTCAAGGGCTTTGCACAGATTTTCTCATGTAACCTGAAAAAGGCAAACAGTGGATCCCCAGGACGCTGCTTATGGCAGACATAAAACAAAGATCACACGTACAGAATTCCTAGAGCCCCTGAAGTGTGGGCTTCCCATGAAAGCAAAGCTGTCCGACTTTACTCTTCATAACACTACGTGTTGCATATTGCATGGTGAAACCCGCTTTTGTTGGATAAGATCTCAAAGCCCAGTGACCCCGCCAGGCAGCTGACTGTCATGTCAGGCCAATTTCCAATTTATGGTACTTACCCTCGGAGGGCCTCCAGCCAGACTTCTTTTACCTCCCGTGAACTGTGGAAAATTGGAAAAATAGCATGACACCCTGCTCCTACTAATCCAGCTGAGTGAGGAGACTGAACGGCTCTAACTTCACGTGTTCTGCGTTATAAGGGAGAGGGGGCGGGCAGGTGGAAATTCAGAATGTTGCTGAGACCGGAAAGAGCATCATGGGCTGTCGCCCGGGCCAGACACTGCAGAGCTCTCACTTCCTCATTTCTTTTAGGGCAGCTCTGCTTCTTTTTTTTTTTTTTCTTCTTCAACTTCAAAGTCAAACATCTGTAAACCACCGAGAGTGGAAAAGATGACATATGGCCGTAGGTGAAGGCTCTGATTCATGTCACAGGTGGGATGTGTGAATAAGAAATTGTGTTATTCTGTACGTAAACATCATTGTATTTTCTAAAGTGATCATTTCAGGTGCCCTTTTTTTTTGGTATCCTGTTGGGGTGCGGTCTCCCCACCCACCCGTCGTCTCCTGTGTTCATCGGTACATTGATAAGCACCCTCTGGGTGTGGGATATGGCCCCTCCAAGAAAGCCAAGACGTGCTGTCTCTTTTGGAACGCAGTCATTATCCAAAGTCAGTTTCCTCTGGGACTATGATGAGTCCACCAGAGCAGGCTGTCTACATGTTAACTTTTCCCTTCCTTAACTCAGTACTAAGTCATAGCCAAATCAGCTCTAAATTCTGACGTGGGAGGTAAACAAACGATTTCCTTTGATCGGACATTTGAAAGTAGAAAGGAGACGGTGAATTTCATCTGTAGATCCCACCTTCTGGATAAAAGAGACTCTCTGGTCTTTACTATGGCTTAGGCTATATACGAAATGACTCAAATACCCTGACAACAGAATGGATACATACAGTGTGATGCATTTTCACATAGAGGAGTCCTACAGAGCCCTGAGAATGCACAGTCTACAACTACGTTCAACGACATGACTGGGTTTCACAAAATATTGGCGAAAGAAAGAGGCCAGACACAAAAGAGCGTCTTGCACGCAGAGCCCCCAGATAGCAAAAGTAATCTGTGTTAGTAGAAGCCAGCATGTCATTTCCGTAGGGCTGGGTAGTGACTCTGAGGGGGTCAGAGAGGGTCCATCTCTTGACTCCGACGGGGGTTCCATCTCTTGACCTGCTTGTTGTGGTTATTCAATTGCTAAGTCGTGTCCGACTCTTTGCAACTCCATGGACTGGAGCCCACCAGGCTCCTCTGTCCTTGAAATTCTCCTGACAAGAAGAGTGGAGTGGGTTGCCGTGCCCTCTTCCAGGACATCTTCCTGACTCAGGGATTGAACCCGTGTCTGTTACATCTCCTGCATTGTCAGGCGGGTTCTTTACCACTAGCACCACCTGCTGCTGCTGCTAAATCGATTCAGTCATGTCCGACTCTTAGTGACCCCATGGACTGCAGCCCCCCAGGCTCCTCTGACCAGGAATTTCCCAGGCAAGAATACTGGAGGGGGTTGCCATTTCCTTCTCCAGGGGTTCTTCCCAACTTAAGGGTCAAACCTGCGTCTCTTATGTCTCCTGCATTGGCAGGTGGGTCCTTCACCACTAGCGCCACCTGGGAAGCACCCGGGAAGCCCCCTATCTCCAGGAATTTGCTCAAATTCTATCTATTAAGTCAGTGATGCCATCCAACCATCTCATCCTCTGTCATCCCCTTCTCCTCCTGCCCTCAATCTTTCCCAGCATCTGAGTCTTTTCAAATGAGTCAGCTCTTTGCATCAGGTGGCCAAAGTATTAGAGCTTCAGCTTTAGCATCAGTCCTTCCAATTCAGGACTGATTTCTTTTAGGATTGACTGGTTTGGTCTCCTTGCAGTCCAAGGGACTCTCAAGAGTCTTCTCCAATACCACAGTTCAAAAGCATCAATTCTTTGGAGCTCACTCTTCCAACTCTCACATGTATATGTCTACTGGAAAAATTGTACCTTTGACTATACAGACCTTTTTTGGCAAAGTGATGTCTCTGCTTTTTAAGGTGCTGTCTAGGTTCGTCATAGCTTTCCTTCCAAGGAGCAAGCATCTTTTAATTTCATGGCTGCAGTCACCATCTGCAATGATTTTGGAGCCCAAGAAAATAAAATCTGTCACTGCATACACTTTCCCCCCTTCTATTTGCCATGAAGTGATGGGACTGGATGCCATGATCTCAGGTTTTTGAATGTTGAGTTTTAAGCCAGCTTTTCACTCTCCTCTTTCACCCTCATCAAGAGGCTCTTAAGTTCTTCGCTTTCTGCCATTAGACTGGTATCATCTACATATCTGAGGTTCTTGATATTTTTCCTGGCAATTTTGATTCCAGCCTGTGATTCATCCAGCCTGGCATTTTGCATAATGTACTTTGCATATAAGTTAAATAAGCAGGGTGAAAATATACAGCCTTGATGTACTCCTTTCCCAATTTTGAACCAGGCAGTTATTCCACGTCTGGATCTAACTGTTGCTTCTTGACCTGCATACAAGTTTCTCAGCAGACAGATAAGGTGGTCTGGTATTCCCAGGTCTTTAAGAATTTCCCACAATTTGTTGTGATATATACAGTCAAAGGCTTTAGGGTAGTCAATGAAGCAGAAATAGATGTTTTTTTGGAACTCCTCATTTCTACATGATCCAGCGAAAGTTGGCAGTTTGATCTCTGGTTCCTCTGCCTCTTTGAAACCAGCTTGTACTTCTGGAAGTTCTTGATTTACATACTACTGAAGCCTAACTTGAAGGATTTTGAGCATAACCTTGCTAACATGTGAAATAAGTGCAATTGTATGGTATCTGGAACATTCTTTGGCATTGCCCTTCTTTGGGATTAGAATGAAAACTGACCTTTTCCAGTCCTCTGGCCACTGCTGAGTTTTCCAAATTTGCTGCCATATTGAGTGCAACACTTTAACAGCATCATCTTTAGGATTGAACCTGGTGCTGCTAGTCTTAAGAGTACATTTCTGTATGTTTGCTATTCTTCAACAAAAAATTGACAGATACCTTGACTTAATTCATTATTAGCACCTGGAGTTCTACGCCTTTTTCATATGGATAGTACTATTGTCTTTATACTGAAAGGAGGTCATGATGAGGCACACTTTGAGAAACTGAAGCTCACAGCTGTTATAATTTGCCCCATAACCCGGTGTCTCGGGGGGGCGACCTCAGGATGGAGTTGGCGGCCAGGTTTCCAGCTGGAGGCACCCTCTCTTGAAACTGCCAGGGTTAACGCAGCACTCCTACCACAACTGCAGATGCTGCTGCTCTTTCAGCCTCCCTTTCCCCTTAGAAAACTCTGAAATGAACTCGCTGATTTCAATTTACTGTTACAAAAAAGGGCATTATGGCGGCTTGGTGGTAAAGAATCCGCTCGCCGATGCAGGAGATACAACAGTCATGGGCCTGAACCCTGGGTTGGGAAGATCTCCTGGAGGAAGAAATGACAACCCGCTCTGCTATTCTTGCCTGGAAAATTCCGTGGACAGAGGAGCCTGGTGGGGGGCTACGGCCCAGGGGTCACAAGGAGTCAAAACAATGAAGCACAGCACAGTGTGCTATCCTATCCTAGAGTCAGGAAGTGGTAGGTGTGCAATTAATAATTTCTATACAAACACATTTACTTATGAAGTAGTCACTATAGAGTATTACTACAATATATGTGTGTTTTATGAATTTTTCATTGGATACTTTTTTAAGTTACTCTAAGAAACTTAATGTTGACAATGCTCTTACAACTAAACCATCCAGTCTCAACTGGCATATTTCCTTCTTTTTAAAAACGAAGACCATATTTTTTCCTCATCTGTACAGCAGATTATGTTATGCCCTATGCCCCACATTCTACCAGTGATTTAAAACCTTTTTTTTTCTCTTTTGCCATGGGATTGTTTTTCTGCTTTTTGGCCACACTGCATAGCTTGTGGGATTTTAGTTCCCGACCAGGGATCAAACGCAGGCCCTCAGCAGTGGAAGTGCAGATTCTTAACCATTAGACCACCAGGGAAATCCCCATATTCACAGGCAGATGAATCTAGAATCCAGATATATAGAATTTAAAAAAAAAGAGCATTTTTTAAAGTTGGTTGCTCTAGTGAGAGATGGCGGGGGGGGGGGGGGCTGGACCCACCCATTTTGCCTTTTCTGAAAAGCCCAAACAAACAAACAAACATGTCGCTTACTCATGTCCGACTCTTTTCGACCCCATGGACAGGCTCCTCCATCCATGGGATTTTCCAGGCAAGAGTACTGGAGTGGGTTGCCATTGCCTTCTCCAAGCTGGGGCTCAAAACCTCATGGTATCAGTGGTTCTCAAAGTGCACGCAGGGACCCCGGAGCGCTTGCAGCAGAGTCCACAAGGTCAGACTGTTTTGTAACAGTACGGAGATGCTAGTGGCCTTTCTGACTCTATTTTCTCCAGAGTATACAGTGGAGTTTTCCAGAAGCCACACGATATGGAATGTTTTGACAGCTATGGGAATGTGGGCTTGCATTTTCCTGTGTTTTAAATGTTTCTCAGTTTTCCTTTATCCTAACATACATACTGGTAGATATAACTTAGATAAATCAGAGAGCTTTAGAGTTGTCAATAGTTTCGTGAAGTTTTCCTGAGACTAACAGAGTTTGAGAACTGCCAATACCCATCATATCTTTCCATGTGAGAAAATTCCACATACGTGTCTTGTTTACCTATTATCTTTACTCTGCTGCTGCTGCTGCTGCTGAGTCGCTCAGTCGTGTCCGACTCTGTGCGACCCCACGGACGGCAGCCCTCCAGGCTCCCCCGTCCCTGGGACTCTCCAGGCAGGAACCCTGCAGTGGGCTGCCGTTTCCTTCTCCAATGCATGAATGTGAAGTCGCTCAGTCGTGTCCGACTCTGTGTGACCCCACAGACGGCAGCCCACCAGGCTCCCCTGTCCCTGGGGTTCTCCAGGCAGGAACCCTGCAGTGGGCTGCCGTTTCCTTCTCCAATGCATGAATGTGAAGTCGCTCAGTCGTGTCTGACTCCTGGCGACCCCATGGACCGCAGCCC